CTAAACGATATCAAGATGTTTTAGTTAGTTTAGATAATTTAAAATTTGTAAAAGAATCTTCTTTGCAAGACAATAGTGATGCATGCATGACTAATCTTGAAGAGCATGATAATAGATGTTTTGGTTCCGAAATTGATACATTAAATGATATACATATCATTGATGGAAAGTCAGATAAATATGGTTTTTCAGATTTGGATGCAGATAAGAACACATTTTCACAAGAATATGAAGGTGAAAAAAGAAATTTCGGAGAAAAACATTTTACTGACTGTGATGAATTAAATTTTGATAGTGATGAGGAAAATGGTCGAAATATAATTGATGATGAACAGAATATAATTAAATTCCAAGATGGAACTAAAATTGCGTTAAATAATGACGATATCGAACGTTCAATTTATGATGAAGATTCAATGGAAATAGAGGAAGATAAAATATATACTTCGAATAATATTTCTCTAAGAGACAATGTGCAAGTAGAAAATATTGGGAAAAATTTAACTGAATCTGAAAATATAAAATATAATTGTGTATTATTATCGAAAAATACAAGCAATAAACATGAAGATAATATATTAAATGTAGAAAATTCACTTACATCATCTAATTTATATTTACATCCAAATATAAATAAAGAAGACAAATTAGTTACGTCTGAAAGAAAAAGACAAAGAAATAATGATGAACAAATATTTGATTTAAATGAATCTATTCCAAAAAAAAAGAATTAGATTATGAAATTGTAGATTTAGAAAAAAGTGAAGAAACTTTACAAAGCAATGATGTTTCAATTGAAGTATTGAATAAAATGCAGAATGAATATCCAAGAAAACATTCCAAAACTAGTGATGCAAAATATATAAATAAAAAATATATTTCAAATAAGAAAAGTGAAATTTCATTGCAATCAAAAATAAACAATGAATATGCTTTCACGCGAGTTAGTGATATTCTACAAAATATTCCAATAGAACAAAGTTATTTAAATTCATATTGTAAAATTGATGATTCAAATGTACACAAACGATATACTCGTATAGCTTTATTGCGAATGAGAGAAGAATTGAGTAAGCTCACAGTAGCAGATAGTCATCATGCACATGATTATTTTGTTGTAAACGTATTTAAAATTTTTTATTCCTTATATCGATCAAATTCGATAAACTGTGAAGAAAATGAAATTTTTAAAGGTTTTTCAATACCTTTAGATTTATTGCCTTTGAAAATAAATATTGCAAATGAATTAATACAAGAAATAAATAAATTTGCAATTTTTCCTAAAGATAGTATTTCATTTTCTAATTTTAAAAAAAATTTATCTAATGATTTGTCGATTTTGAATAATGTAGAAGCAATTTATAAATTTGTATATAATAAAAAAGAATTTGGAGCTAGTATTCAAGAATTGATAGTAAGTAAAAATATCTTTTTACTAAATATATTAGATTTTAAAAATAATTCTTAAAAAATTAAAATCATTATTAAAAGTTGAAATTAATAATTAATATATTATTTTTAAATAATAAAAGAATACAATACTTACAATTTTTAAAATTTTTAAAATAAAATATCTTAAATTAATTAATTATTTTATTTATTTATTTTAGGATGAATTTGAAAATACATTAAAAGAAGATTTATACCGAATTGTTTCTTTGTTTGTTGATAATTATTTATTTTTGCGAACCGGTGTAACTACAGTTCGTTACATACATCATGACTATGTTAATTCTTGGTTAATACATTCATATAAAATATACCGTCTTGAAAAAGAATCACTCATACCTATACCTAAAGGAACTGTATATGTGACAGAAGCTAAGGAAATATTAAATAAAAATATCGACATAGATACAATAAAAGAATCTAATCAAACTCTTAATTCATCAATAGAAAATGAATCATCCAAAATTATTTGTGAAAATGTAATTGAAGAAACTATTGAATCAGAAATAAAAAATAATGAAAATAAACATGAAGATTCTAATAAGGATACATCTAGTCATAGTGATGAAGAATATAATACACAAGTAAAAAAAAGGATTCAAAAAAATGCATTTAAATTATTACCTCAAAAAGATATATCTAAGGCTGTGAAACAATTAGATTCAAAGTAAGTGGAGTTATTTTAATATATGATATATAATAAAAATTAAAATTATTATATTATACTATACTATATATTATACTATATTATAATCATATTATAATATGGTATTTAATGATATTTAAATATTTCATTATATTTACAGTACAAAAGAAGTAAGAGTAGTAATAAAACCATGGATTCGAATAGATGGAGTTTTAAATCGTAGAGTACTCGATCGTATGTTAGGATCGATTTTATCATATTGTTTAACACATCCAGGTATTCCATTAATTAAAATACAAAATAGATTTATACCTCCTCTTCAACCATGTCACACACGAGAATTAGTCGAGGTAAATTATTAATAATTATATAATTATAATTATATATAATTATATATTCTTTTATGATATATTAATGATTATTATATTTAAAATTTTATTTTATAATTTGTATTTTAATATTTTTATTAAATTTTGTAAAAAAATATATTTTTATGATAGATGTTGATAAAATTGGAGTGCTTGGAAAAAATACTCATTAAAAAATCACGTGTGACATTATTTTCGAAACCATCAAAAGTTGAATTGAGTAAGTATTTTTATTTTTAGATAGAAAATTAAAATTTTATTTTTTAAAATCTTCTTATAGTTATTAAATACAAATATAAATCGTATGATTTAATTTTATATTTAGCTTTTAAAATTTAGAAGAAAGTTAAAATTTAAAAGAAAATTTTTATTAAAATATTAAATACTTATAAGCTTATACTTATATATGTTATTATATTGTATTTGTTCTTAGAAATTGCAAATAATGATTGGGCTACTGAAGAAGATATTTTCCTTGAACCTACAAGTGGAGCAATGTTAAAGTTTGGAATATTTTTAAGTACTAAAATGTATAATACAGATTTTATTTCATAATTAGTAAAAATTGAATTATTTATTAAAATTTAAAAAACAAACTAATATATTATATATAATATATTTTATTTATTATAAAGTAATTTTTGTTAATAACAAAATTCATCATTGTTAATAAGAAATAGATAATTTTTATTTAGTATATTATGATTGTTTATTATTATTGTAACGCATAAAAATATGTAATTATTTAATACGTTATAGTAATATTCTATTTTATGTATGAGCATTAAATTTTTATCAAAAACTTACAGCAAAATAGAAAATTATATTTGAATTATTCTATTATAAATAATAATAAAATAAAATATAAATAATAAAAATAGAATGAAATAAAAGAGAGAATATTATAAATCAAAACAGAAATAAAAAAAAGAGAAATTAAATTTATGATTATATTTATATTAATATGAGTTTATATATAATTTTAATATAAATCTTGGATAAATAGGATAATAATGATGGGATAAAGAAGAGAAGAAATTAAGAGAATTTAAAAATTACAAAGATAAAAAGCTTATTTTCATTATATTTTAAAAATACAACACAATATTGGATTTTTCTTAATAATTAAATTACATTAAATTTAATATTTTACTTATTTGCATTCTTAATATTAATGATATATTAATATTAAGTATAGTAAAACAATAATAGTTTATTGAACTTATATACAATAAATCCAAAGATTGCAGTATAATTAAAAATAGTTAATGCAATAAAAGAGAATAATATAAATATTTATGAATTACAAATAAAATATTTATGATTAATCATTTATAGAATTACATTTATAATAGTATAAATATTTTTATATATAATAAAATTATAACTTATAATTGCATTTAAACATTACATAAATTAGAATGAACATAAATATTTAAATAAATTCGTAAATAAAAATATTTATTTTTTTGATTTTAGTCAGAAAATATAATCGGACGGTCATTGTCAATAATTCCTATAGAAAATATTTGCTGTATTAAAATATTTATATCAATCATATAAATATATTTTTTATTGATTTTTAATTATGAAAATCTTTTAATAATAAATACGTACCTTTTAATGTAATAACATTATTAACAATAATATACTTACATATACCTACATGATATAACAATAACAATGTACAATAAACTAGATCCAACAATACAACATATCTTTACAAATGTTATTTTTATAAATTATAAATGCATAGTAATTGTAAACAAATATATTATCAATTATATATTTAATATTTATAATGAAATTAATCGAGAAAAAACAAATATTTTTATATAGTAACAATTAAATTTTTGCAAAAATATACATTAATTTTAATTCGTTATTTTTTATTTATGAAATGCTAAAATTGCATTTTTGATTTGCATTTTTTCAATTACAAAAATCATTATAATTCTTATACTAAAAATAAAAGATATGAAATTTAAAAATAGGAAAATAAGAATTTAGAAGTTATAAATATTTTTTATTAAGGATAAAGTTTCTAAACTATTGAAAAAAGATTTAAATAAGAAAATATAATATAATAAGAAAAATTTACAAAAAATCAGAAAAAATTTGTTTATAAATTTATGATATATAACTTGTGACATATGTTCACAATTACTATGAATTCATGCGATATGTAACATTTGTAACAATTTTTTTAATAATGTCTAAATTTCAAACTGAAAATTATATTCAGTTTGTTACAAAATTCATTTTTATTTACGTTTTTTTATTATAATATTAATTTAATATTTCATATGAATTTATAATTTTTCAAGTTATATATATGCAAATTTCTTATAATTTTCAAATAAAAAAATTCTTTTTGTTTTAAAATATTTTTATAATTTCATTTTGTATAAATTGAATAAGATATATTTAAAAAAAATTTTACACTTTAAAATAAAAAATTATATTTATATTTTGTATATATAATACAAATAAGCACAACCAACTTAGACAAATAAATAAAGTTCATTTCATTTTAATTTTTATGTGATTTTTTTATAAAATCATAAATCATATTGAATTATACAAAATATAATCTTTTATAAAAATTATATTTAAAAAATAATGAAATCAAATTATAATTTGATTACTATTAAACTATACCTCAATATAAAGCAATTTTTGATTTAATGAAGATAAAAAGCTTCTTCACTTTATTGATGTGCATGTAAAGAATTACAGCAAAAATTGTTCCCATGAATTTTTTTTTAAAAACATATTAAAGACGAATATTTCCTTGTTGAATCTGCTTATAAATTTCAGCAGTTAACAATTGATATCCAGACTTTTCATTTAAATAGTAAACTTTATCTCCTATTATGTTTGGATTATATCCTTCAGCTACAAGATCTTTTTTTTTTAATTTAAATGTGCCTGAAATAATGATTAATCTCTTTAAATTGAAATGATTTAATTTTGAAGTTTGAATAACAAAACAATAAAGAAATATTTATTTTTATAAAAATTGAAGTAAGAAAAATATTAAAAATGTATTCATTACAATAATGAAAATATAATTTTAAAAAATTTTTTAAAAATTAAAATAAAAATCATTTATATTCATAAATAATAAAAAATTAATTTAGAATTATTAATAAGATATTTTTTTATTATTAATTAAATGATTAATTAAATGAATTCAAGGTTTATTATAGTTATATAAATTCAAGTTATATCAAGAAATTAAATTATGTATAAAAGATACCTGTGAGATCAATCTTTGATAAAATCCTAATAAACCTAGGTACTGCATAACTTGCTAAATGTTCTTTTAAATCAATTGATAATTGATTGACATCTAATGTAGCTTTTTCATCATATATTGCTGCCATTCCAGCTTTACCTTCAAGACCTGGAATCTAGAAAATTAAATAAAAATATCATATAATGTATTATAAAAGATTAATTATATTTTACATAATATATAATAAGATTATAAAAAATATTTTCTACTAATAATGAAAAATTATTATATAATATTATTTTTAATATTTTATTACCTCAACTCCATATACAATACAATCTCTATAATTAACAAGATTACTAATAATAGCTTCAATTTCAGATGTAGATACATTTTCTCCTTTCCATCTAAATGTATCCCCAGTTCTATCTTTAAAAAATAATTACCGAACTCATCTGCTATTAAAATGTCACCTGCATACAAAATAAGAAAAATTTATGGTTATTTATAAATATAGATTATATATATATATATATATATATATAAAAAAATAATTAAATATTTTTAATTTAAAAATTTTATATTCTTAAATTTGATTAGAGTATATTTATACCAGATATAAATGCCGAATCGCCTTTAGCAAATACATCGCGAACTATTTTTTTTTTCAGATGCTTTCTGATCCACATATCCCAAATATGCTCTAAATGGATTGTTCGGTATAATTTTTCCAACAAAAACACCTGGTTCATCTAAATGTGATGATAGAAATTGTAAAATAAAAAAGAAAAAGAATTTTTAAAAGACATTTTAGTTCATATTTAACTTACTCGGTCCACATATTTGACATAAACCTTTTGCATTCCTTATAGGTTCTCCATCAGCGTCAACTTTTATAATGGAAATAGGATAAACTGATGGAACTATTCGAGATACAAAACCAATAGCTCCAACAGTATTATCGACATTTACTTAAAACAAAATAAGAAATATTAACACTATAAAATGAATATAAAGTAAATTATTTATTAAAGATAAATTTATTACGATTAAATCGACAAAATAAATTTTAAATTTTAATATATTTTTATTAAAAACTGATATAAATATTAATTCTTACCAATGTTAGCATTGCCCTCTGTTGCTCCATAGAATTCAGCAATTTGTGGAATATTGAATCGTTCTACGAACTCGGGCCAAATTTGTGGCCTCAAACCATTTCCAAACATTATCCTGATATTGTGTTGTTTATCTTCCGGTTTTGGAGGAACAGCTAAAATATATCTACACATTTCTCCAATATATTGACCAATCTAAAAATTATTTAAATCCATTTCTTTTCACATTCATATTTTTTCAAGAATTAATTCTTGAATAAATATCGCAGTGAAATTTGAATATGTATTATCTTTTAATAATAATTGAAACAAATAGAAAAAACTTACTGTACACTTATATTTGATGCAATCAATGAAATAAGCGCTTGCTGAAAATTTTCTTCTAATTACAACTGTAGCTCCATGAAGAAGGGCTGCACCAACAGACATTACACCACCAGCAGTATGATATAAAGGTAATGGCGTATAAATCCTATCTGAACTTTTAAACTTTGCTAACATAAATATACCGACTGCCATAAACATAAACCTGAAATGAATTAAAAAAATAATTTATTTATTTAAAAGTAACATTACAAATGTTACTTTTCAAATATTTTTTATATATAAATAAAAAATTAATTAAAAAATAAATAGAATAATTTAAAATCACTAAAAAATTAACATTGATTATTATCGCTATAAATAATCTTAAAACTAAGTAAGTAAACTTTAAGTATTTAATAATATTAAATAATTTCAATGTTTTTTTTACCTAGAATTTGTTATAACAGCTGCTTTTGGAAGGCCAGTTGTACCACTAGTGAAAATATACACTAATTGATCATTATAAGAGCTTTTTTCTTGAAGAAGTGGTGGAGCTGAAGAAACATTGGTCATAAGGGCGGCCAAATCATTATCATTTAAATTTGATGTCTTTTTATCTGGTAAATTACCGATTCTATACAGTGGAAATTTTGGATCCAAAGAATTCATAATGTCTGACACAGCTAAAATAAATTTAAAATAACTTAATAACTTAATAATATAAAAACAAAATAACTGAATAATTTTCATCTAAAAATTTTTTATATAATTCAAAAATTTTCTAAAACATGATTTACATATTTTCACAAAACGAATTATGAATATTCAAATATTATTCTAATAAAATTATATATTATTTTAGTTTATATATAAAATTATAAAATCATATAAAATCTTTCTATATAAAATATTAAAAAAATTATTTTTAACGAATATGATGTTAGTTACGAAATGTTTCATAATAAGCGATTTATTTCTTTACATACAATATTCTATATTTTTCTCTTACATGCTAATTGTACTAATTCAATTACAACCAATTATATTTTTGAAAAAATAAATATTTTAATACAGAGTTTATTAGATTTAAAGAATTTGTTCAAATACTGATATTATATTAATATTTATTATAAATATATATATTTTTCTGATTTTATTCAAAAAAATATTTAAGATTTTTAAGATACAATATTGTTTATTATAAATTTTTTTTTAAAATTATGCAATTTTAATAATAATAAAAAATTATAAAAAAATATTATGAAATTATAAACTATAATTATAAAGTAAATTATAAAGTAATAATATCAGATGATGCATTCTATAAATAAATATGTATAGATATATGTATATAGATACACAATATAAACAATAAGAAAAAAATAATGAAAATAAAAACAAAAGAGTAAATAAATTATAAATTAAAATTAATAAAATATTAATTTTATCATCATCATTATCATTAATCAATAATGATAAAATCGTATATTAATATTTTCAATCATAGTATAAAGAATTATTTATAAAGCTTTTTGAAAAATAAATTTTTCAAAAAATTATAATTAATTATCATTTTTATTTTAAGAATAATTCTTGTACTCTATTTTTAAAAGATATATAAGATAAGATAAGATAATATATATAATAAAAAAAATAATCATAATTTTAAGTTATTAATGTTGAAATTTAAATAATAATTTAACTCTTAATTTAACTCCGATAACTTTTATGTTTTTTTTTTTAAGTTGAAATTTAACGATAATAAAGCAATAAATGTGATAGCCATCAGCATTATGCAATCATTTATAAAATAGACCTCGAGTTGAATCGACTATGACACGCAACCGAACACCTAATTTTTTTTCATTCATGGAGTAGTTAGTTTTGTTTCCTATTATTATTGAATCAATCATTATAATTGGTACTATTTATAACATAATTTTATACATTTATAAGATCCAGATGGTAAAAAAACAAATATTTGTATCTCATTTTGATATCATAAATATCAAGTATTATATTATTAAATTATATATGTTATATAATAAATTATATTCTAAAATATTCTAAAATAAATAAATTAAAATAATTAAAGATTACTTTTTTATTAAGGTTATTATTTATTATTATTTATTATTTATTAAAGATATTTCTAAAAAAAAAAAAAAAACTTGATTATGAAATTTATGATTTATTCTAATATCTTCATAGGAAGTAAATATTCATTGAATAAAATTAATCTAATTTCAAAGATTCATTATAAAAAAATGAAAATAAAATTTAATTTTTTAATAATTAAATTTTTTTAATACTTACCATCGATGAAATCCACTCCATAAATAAGAGCTTGACACTTGGACACTTTAATACTATGCAAGAGAGAGGCTTTACGAAGATTGGTGTTAAGCAATGGTATTATTACCCCTAACTTACTTAGTCCAAGCCAAATGGCAACGAATTCTGGTCGATTTTCTAAAAGTATACCGACCACATCCCCTTTGTGATATCCAGATGTTGAGAAGACAGAAGCGATTTTGTTACTATAATCCTCTATCTGAAAATATTAAATTAATTTAAATTTCTTTAAATTAAATGATATACATAATAATATACATATAAGATATAAAAATATAAATGATGTACATATGTATATGTATATGTATATTTTTTTCTCGATATTCATTATATTAAAATAATTTTTTTTATAAGATATAAAAATTCAATCGATTATTATGATATTTAATTATACAACTTCATATTTATTTAATTTATTATTATTATTATATAAATATTTTAATTATACAAACTGCAAAGTTTAATATAAATAAATATTATAGTTATTTTATTTGTTATTGTATATTGTATATGTTGTAAAAAGTATTTATTAATAAATAATAATTAGATAAATAAAATATTGAAATAATAAAGTTTATATGAAAAATTTATTTTATATTTTAAAATACTAAAGAATTCTCGAAAACTATGAAGAAATTATAACTGTTCGTTTTTATGAACGAAAGAAAAGTATATATCTAACGGTAAAAGTATAACGGTAACAAAATTATTAATGTTTATAGTATAAAAATTCGACCATAAAACACACCATAGTTGTTTACTAAAAATGCAGCATTAAACATGAAAGCAAAATATTTGTGCAATAAATAAATTATTCTTAATATCAATATTTTAACTATTAAAACATTCTATATTATTAATATTTAAAAAAGCTAAAAACTATTCTTCTATGTTTAAAGTTAAAAAATTATTTGCGAAAATTAAAAAGTTTTAAATAATATATTATATGAAAAAAGAATTATATATAATATTAATAATTCTATCGAAGTATAAATATAAATATAAATACGATATTTAATTAGAATTAAATAATTAATTCTAATTAAATAATTATCAAATAACGGTTTTCAGAGAGAGTCAATGACCTATTCAATGACCTATAGGTTAAACATCATTTTAAAGATGACTACATTTTTTTAAAGATTAAAAATTATCAAATTTTTTTATATAAACAAAAAATCATCTCATTTAATCTTATTTATCTTTTGATTCAGATATTAATAAAAAGGAATAATATAATACAATATGAACAATAAATATATGTTATACTATACATTAAATATACTATATATATATATACAATTTTTTATATATTGTAAATAATATTCCCATATCAATATTTTCAATCATATTTATCACTGAGATAAAATTTACTTATTATTCACTAATTACAAAAATTAAAAAAGTATAATTAAGCAAAAAATAGATCATGATAAGAAATATTAGATTATTTTAAAAATCAATTAAATATGAAATTTAAATTTTTCTTTAAGACTATAATATATATATTTTTGTAAAATTATATATTATATACTCTTACTTGTTGAAACGTCCATTCTTGATCTTCGGAAATGATGCAAACTTTATTAGGATGCTTTCTAACATGTTGCCGAAATACATCGGCGATTGTTCTATTATTCCTTTCATGGCCACGGATAATCCAAAGAACTTTTATATATCGTGTAATAGCTCTGTAAAAAATAAAAATATTTGTATTTTCAATTAGAATCTCACTAATATATTAAAATCCAAAAATTTAAAAAAAGTAGAAAATTTTTTATGCAAAACTTGTTAAAATAAATTAAATTAATTATGATATTAATAATTATTGATACTTGCAGTATTATCTCATTAAAGCTAAAGTTTTTGACAGTCATTTTTTCAAAAAGAAAAATAATTTCAATAATATAACACCATACATATCTATTTATTATGATTTTTATTTTTTTTAATAAGTTTTAAAAATAATTTTTGTCTCAAGATTTATTCAATTGATCATTTGGAATTGCCATCTGACATCATACGAATTCTTTTTCTGAAATGTTAAATTAAAAGTATGCATTGCTAATCTACAATCAATTAAACAATCAAAAAAAATATTTATGAAATTATTTACGATACAAGATGAAAATTATGCGATAGTCATAACAAATTAGACTAAAAGAATTCATTATATAAGTATTATTTAATTCAAAACATTATTATTACTTATTACTTATTATTTATTATTTATTATATATTATTTATTACTTATAATAAATAATAATATAAATATAAGTAAATTTCAATTAATATTATTTTTCATGCAATAAATAAAAATTTGTGGAATAAACAGCATTATTTGAAATATTTAAATCATAAAATAACAGAATGAATTTGCTGAATGAAGTTCTTAGCAAATTCATTTCTTATTGAAGAAGAGAAATATACATATTACATAATTATCTTTATGTAATTATGCATAATAACGAGCAAATATTATTTTAAAGTCTAAAATTGCTAAAATTCATTTTTATTCATAATTCATTTTAAAATAAATGATACTTAAAGAATTTGAATTTTAAAATATAAATATTCTATTTGGAAAAAAATTACAAATTATAATTTAAAATTAAAATTAAATATTTAAATTATAAATATTAAAATAAAGATATCAAGCATCTATTAATATATTATTTATTAAATAAATAATTTATTAATAAAAAAATAATAAATAATTTTATAAATATATATATAATATATATAAATAATCTTATATTAAAATAATTACAAAAAAATATTACAAATAATTTGAAATTTTTTTTAAAATCGTTTTTTTTTCATAATTTTTATAAAAATATAAATATTCTTTAAAAAAGAAAATAAAATAAAAAAAAACTGAAATTATTAAAATTTTGATGTATTTTGATGTATGATTGAATGATTGAATTGTAACATAAACGAAATCTTAGACTATCTTAAAAGGAATTTAGTTGGTTAGCTTAGTTGGTTCAACGGACCAGTTAAACCAACAAGAGAAATCTGTATGCTACGCACGTCGTTTTGAACTATTTACTGCTGATCAACACTAGTTTTTATGCAATTGCATGAATGACGTACGTAGATACAATGAATTAACAGTATCTAAAACCTCGAAGATTATTTTTATATGCATTTAATTATTTTACAAATATATAAATTATTTTATATTATAAAACATTTTAAAAAATAGAAATATTTTTCGTTTATTTAAACTGATATTTTCCAATATATCTAATAGCACGTTTTAATCTTTTCAATACACTACTTTTAATTATTATAAATAGTATACAAAATTCACAAATTTACATAAATAGTAATAATAAATATTTTTAATATAGACTATATATAATTTATAAAGTCGACAAATAATAAACAATAAGAATAAATAATAAACGATAAGAATAAATAAATAAATTTTAGAATAAATATATATTAAAAAAATATATATATATAAACTAATATATATTATATAATATATATATAATAATAAAAAAAATGTACAATACAAATATATGTACAATATAATACAAATAATAATAAAAAATGAAAAATAAATTATTATTTTTTAAAAAACATATTTAAAATGCAAAGCAATAAATTTAATAAAAAATCATATTGATTTTTAATTATCGTAATTGTTAATTAACTATTTCAGATATATATATATATATATATATTTCTTTAACATGGTTCGATGTAATAACTTTATTTTAATTTTAAAAATAATTTTAATTATATATTTATATAATATATTTATTTATATTAAATTAAAATAAATATAACCTGTAATGAAATTGTAATAAGTTATTTTTAAAACAAAATATTTTATATTTTGTTATAATATAATATAATATAATATAATATATTTTGAAAATAAAATAATTTCATATAGTTTTTGTAAATGTACGAAGAAACTATATACTACGAAGAAAGTATGTACTTACATACTTGCACTATACATATGTAAGTACATTGCTTGTCAATGAAGGGTTCATTTTAAATAACCTTGAATAATGTCATGTGTTGTTCAACTCGTCTAACGCTTTCACGAATTACATTTAAAAAAAAAAATTATTATTTTGATGTTAGCACATCAAAAATAAAAAATAATCATAATTAATTATTAAAATTTTTTTATAGAAAAATTTATTTTTTATTTTTTATCTTTAAATGTTGGTATTTTTTATTTTTAAATATTGATTTAAAATTTAAATAAAATTGTGATTTTAAATAAATATATAAATATAATTTAATATTTTAAACTTTTATAAATAATATGGAATCAAATCAATTTATCTTTGATTACAAGAAGAAAACAACTTATTATCTTGTAATTTTCTTTCTAATAATATTGCTATATATAAAATTCTATAAACATACTTTTCTGTAACAAGTACTCTTATCAAATATTATTTATCGATATTATATTTTCTTTTCAAAAAAGAATTAATTATAATGTCGAGAATAAAATAAATTACGATATGCATTAACAGGAAGCCACTAAATTCACCGCAGAAAGAGATCCAAGTAATGGAAGCGAGATCAATCTTATCATAAGTACCTGTAAACAATACCAGTTTTATATAATAATATAAACTAGATCTTACGACATATTTGCACTTGGATTGTGATTCAAGTTGTCCATAATATTTTCTTTAGAAAGAGAAAAAAATTAAGCTTTCTTGATGATTTAATCAAAAATTATTTATGATGAAATATAACTATGATTTTAAATTTGATTAGATTTATTTGATTAGATGATAAATAATTTCTTATCAGATTTTCATAAAAATATATTTATAAAAATGATTATAATATAAATAATTTAGTTTACATAATTAGTTTACATAAATAATTAATATTTTTTAAAATATTTTAAAATAATAAAAATAGATTAACGATTAAAATAATAATTTACAATATAAATAGTATATTTGTTTTTTCAGAATATTATTAATTAGTATCATATAGTAAAGATATATAGTAAAAATATATAAATATATTTATATTGTACATTATGTTTTTTTTTATATTATATTACATTTTTTTATACAGAAAAATTTTGAATTTTGAATTTAAATTGCTTTTTCATTTAATTTTAATTGATTTTTCATTTAAATCAGTTATATTTAATGATTGATGTAATATTGTTCATTAATAATGTACGACCAAGTAATAAATATTAATTTATGAAACTTATCTACGTCAAAAAATAAAAAAAATTAACGGTCATAATTGACATTTTTACAAAAAAAAAAAAATACTATTAAATTTTTATGGTAATAATATTTTTGTTTTGAATAATAAACATTTTCTTAAACAAACAGATATTTATGAGTTCTGATAACTTTTCTGCATATTCACAGTGATATATTTTATGTTTATGTAAATTCTAAACTTTTTAATTTATAAGTCAAAATTTTAATTTTTCTACATTTATATTTTATTTTAATTTATATTTTACGAGAAGAATGAAAATTTTATAATTTTCTTTCAAGAAATAGAAAGTTTTCCGTTAAGAAAATAAAGTTTTACGAAACTTTATTTCGTAAATTATATAATATATTTCAATAATTTAATAAATCTTATGAATATACATATAAATAGAAAATAATAATTAGCCTTTATTTTATATTAAATTGTACTATTTTTAATAAAATTTATGTCGATTGAATAAATGATAAATAATTTAATACATCTTTAATCATATGAATCAAAAATCTACATTTTAATTTCAATTTTAATTAATATTAATTATATATAAATATATAGAAAAAACAAAATTCAAAGAACTGCATTATAAGCAATTTAAAAAAAGAAAATATAATTACTTATATTGATAAATTCACCGAACAATTATATTGAGTTTCACATTTTTTTTGCAATTAAATAATTTAAAATAAAATTTTAAATTTTATTTTTAGAATGCATCATGTAAATATAATTCAATAATATCATACAATATAATAAAATAAAATAAAATAATGCAAATCAATTTTTTTAATAATAGTATTTTTAATATAGTTGTATAATTTGAAAAAAAAGTATAGTAATTTCTATTATTAAATAATGATAATATTTAAATTATAGATAAAATATTAGACACTTTCTTAAAATATTTTAATTTTTTAAATGTAAAAATAAAATTAGATTTATAAGATTTAAAAAAAACAATATAAAAATGGAAAAAAAATTTTATGATGTAAAATTTTTTTAATATCAAAACTTTTTTTATAAAATCTCTTTTATATCATATTCCAACAATCCAACAATCCAACTTAAATATACTGTCATCATAAAAAAAAAAATATAATTTTAAAAAACAATAAATGTCATAACGATGAATTGCGCAAAAGAAATGAAGAAATTAAAACAATTATTCCTTCTATGTTTTATAAGAAAAAAAAAAAGGATTACAGATGATAAATTGAAAAATTTTTTTTCAACTTATCATCTATATGTCACAATAGTGCATCTACTATCTCGTATATTAAAGGATACAACGTATACATCATTTAATGACATTATTGTGAAACGATTGTAGTAGCTAAATGCGCCACTCTAAAAATGAATTTCTTTTGTAATTCTTTCACAATGGAAGTTGAAATAAACTTTTATTGTTGACTTCATAAATTATTAAATTTTTGTATTACGTCTCGCACGCATCGTATAAAATATAAATAAAGTGAGATAATAAATGCTTTCTTTTTAATAAAATTAAATATTTTAAAATGAAAGATATATCAATATATAAACATTTGTAACATTTCTTGTAACAATGAAAATAAAAACACATTAAATTCTAATAAGAATAACAAAGTTTTTAATGTTTTAAATTTTTTTAACCTTATTATTTTTATTAGCATTATAAAATTATTATTTGTTGTTAAAACAATTGTTAGTTACAAGTGAGGGATATAAATTTCAATTACCTAGAACAGTTCACTTCCCTAGAGAATCATATTGATGAAAATTGAACAATTATTTTATAAGAGTAATATAAACATTAACTCTCGAAGGTCGAAAATATTTATTTTGCGAATTATTTGTCACACGAAAACAGAGCTTCGTTTCCGATGTACATTGATTTTTTTCCTAAATATTATTTTAAATAAATATTATATGTAATATTATTTTAAAAATAATATTTTTTTAAATCACAAAATATATAATATTTTTAAAAATATTTTATAATTATAATCTTCAATTCAGGAAACAGAATTCATGTTTATAAAATGTATTATATGTTGAAATTATATATCCAAAATTCCACATTTTAAAAACTGTTTAAATAAACTTATATTTAAAAAAAATTAAAAATTATTTTTTAAAAAATCTTATAATTCTTACTTTCAACATTGTTTATCATTAAAATATTCAAATTATCAAATTTTTCATCAACAATCTATTTAAATTTCTCCATCTAAAAAATCATTCAAAATTTCAATAACAAGTTCACGTGTTTTTGCATCGTTATAAACATGACCGATAATACATAAATACTTATATACCATCTTCGAAACTTGAAAGAAGTAGAGAGAAACTCGACTGACTGGCCATGCGAGAAGACCAACTTCGAAAGTCAAACACTGACCCAATTTCCACTTTTATCGACTGGATTTAGAATGAATCGAAATCCAAACTATCGGCCATCTGTATTGTTAAAAAGTACGAGAATGAGTTGGATCAAAATGAAATATGTACTCACATGAAATCTCTGGGTGCTGTTTTTAAAGCGATGTAGAACCATCGGAAACGTCCTCCGGCTACTAAATACGCAACAAGAATCACGACTAGTAGCTGCACGAGGAAAATGGGACCTGCATATATAGATAGGAGAGCCAAACAGGCAACCAAACTAGATATCACAAACATGATGAGTGCCAGGCGGCGAAGCAGGCGACCGACTGCCTTCCACCGGTTAGCTGCGCTTCTTTCTGTTCCTCTTACCGTGCGCGTCCTCGTCTTTGGCGTTGTTGTCGTCGTGATCACGTCTGTCCCCGCTCCTGTATACAACATACGCATGTACGTATACGCATACATTGTTCGGTTCGATTATATCTATACATGATTCCAGTTCCGTTCTCACAGCTATATTCAACGTACCTATTGGTTCATTGTTCGACGTTCCGATTTCCACTTCCACTGCAATACTCGATAGATTAGTCCTGTTGCAACTGTTCCTTAACTTGTCCTCGAGCTCGACCCTGCTCTCGGCCGACGTCGACGTCCGTGACGAAGACGTCGGCCGTGAACAGATCGACGGCGAGAGACCAACAACGTTCGAATGAAGTTCACCCTTTTCTACGTCCTGCAATAAATGCAGCAAATTTACCCTATACAATATATATAACATATCCTTCATCATTCGTACATGTATGTATATCATTTCAAAATTTGATTACATAAAAAACCAAAAATAAAAATATATATTACGATATTTATTTTTTTGAGTAATGCTGTTTGATCTTATTTCCTTAATATTTTGAAAGAACTATTGTATCGATTTCATTATTATATATCTTTCTAATCAAATGATGAAATAATTCATTTCCATTCTATTAAAATTAATTTTTGAATATGAAAATTCATAATTATTTTATCACTTTATTCTGTGATAAATTCAGGTTCTTCATAGATGCAATTGAAACTTACTAAGTATATGAATACACAGTAGATACGTATTCTTATATAGTATGTATCGTGTAACCTAAAGTATCGAGTGTATTGCAAATAGCATATGAAGATTTTGCCCTAAATAATCCGAAATGAAATAACTTCTTAATTATTAAATTAAATTTAAATATTATAATTTAATATTCATGGAAATTATTGCATAAAAGTTAAATAAAAAATAAAATATTGTTAATAGGAGATAATTTAAATTATCTGTTCATTTCTTTGATATCTTCGATTTATTTACAAATAGTTGAAATACGAAAAAATTTTGATATTTATAAATCTAAAAAATTTCTAATATATTTCTAAACTAATATATATATATGTATATATATGTATATATATGTATATATATTTTGAACTTTCATTTAAACTTTTTAGCAATTAAATCAACATATTGCAAATTTATATTTTATACTGATTTAAATAAAAAATACAAGATGAAAATAAAAAATTATTCGCAAAATTAATAAATATTTTTCTTTAAAAAATTTATGTTCTTTTTATAAAATGAAAAAAAAATGATTTGAAAACATATATCTGAATTACAAAGTAGCATAATAAATATTCGCATTTTAAAAAAATTGACAAAATAATAAAAAGAAAAAACAAAAGATATACTATAAAAGATTTTACAAAGCATTTTTTTCGATATTAAAAAATAAAATCATTTATCCAGATTATTAGTAATATGAGAAATTGAAAAAATATAAAAGATGAATATATATTCATATATCTTGTAATATTTTATGTAAATTCCTGTAAAAAAAAATAAATACATATGTAATATTATTTCATCAAAATAAGTATATATACAAAAATATGTACATATTAATCGTAATTGTAATTATAAACAGAATTGATATAGTTTTTTTAAAAAATCATTCATTTTTAATATGTATTTAATATTAATATTGTATATATAAAAATTGTATGTATAATATTGTTAATTTATGTTAATAAATTTCATAACCTATGTTCTGTTTCATATGTTTTTTTTTTAGTATTATTTTGTGTCTACTAATGTTTCTATACTTTCTACTTTCTTTTAAAGTTTCTCTCAAATAATTGAAAATAATATCCGAAAAATAAAATAACTGAAAAACTATATATAACTAATTTTCTAAATATTTAATATTTATTTAAATTTTTTAATCTAATATAACTAATCCTTTGTATAATTATTACGTTCTTTTGTTCGTAAATTATATTTTTTTTAAATTAAAATATTATTATGTGTTTTCTAATAAATATTAAAAGAAAAATTATATATATTTTAAATAATAATCAACAAATAGTTATAACTGTATTTTTAATCTTTTTTTTTGTTATAATATCAAAACTATAATTTTTATTAATTATGTGTAATATTTATATATATTTTATGTTTATATATATATAACTTTTATATATTAATTATTATTTATAATTTTAAATTAATTATAAATAATTTTTTACATAATATAATAAATAATAGTATTTTATAAAAAAAGTTGGTAATTAAAAATTGATAACTTATATATAATTATTTATCATTAGTGTCTTAAAATCAGCAAGATATCAGCAAGATATCAGCAAGACTCACCCCAAAAAAATATTTATGTCTTTGATTAACAGTTTGATAAGAAGTTAGAATACATTTTTGTAAAACTCGTTTTAATCGCGTAGTTGATGATAATATATACTAAGCATATATTAAACACACTTTCTCGATTTTCGAAATTTTATATTGTATATAAAATTATTTGTTAAAACACTTATTTATAAGTGAAAATTTAAAAAATGAGGAAGACTTTAATACTTTCTGATCACCCTCAGTGGCGAAACTTAATCAATAACTCAACATTACTGCTACCATGTGGTGAAACACGGAAGCTTCTTAGAAATGCTCAATGAATAATAGTTTGAACCAGAAGTTTATTTCAAGAAAAGAATTTTTGAAAATGTTTTCTTATTTTATTTAACTCTTAATAAAAATTTTTAAAAACTCAGTAACATAATTTTTGATTTTTTAAAATTTATTTTTAGAATAAAGTTTAATTAAAATAATTTATGTGTTACATGATATTTCATTTTTAACTACCTAAATAATATATAAAAAAATAAGAGTAAATATATAAAGGAAATAATTACGTTTAATATAAACTAATCAGTTTTCAATTGATTATATAATGACCATAAACAGATAAGATTCGTCACCAATAATATTACCATACTGAAGGCATAAAATCTTCTTTCAATATTTAAAAAAACTAGTCATTTTAGATACATAGTTTTGCAGATAAAATATTATTTTTTATTTTTGCTTTTCAATATGTTAATTTTCAATATTTTATATTTTTTATACAAATTTAAATTTAAATATTGATATTATCAACAATTTATTACAGATTTTATTACAATAATGAATTAAATTATGAACTAAAATAATTAAATAATGAAAATATTTATTAGATTAAGATTTTCTCGCTTTGGGATATTCATATATTTATAATCGTTAAAATATCAATGAAAATTGCAATTATTAAGAAGTTTCAGAAGAATATAGAACTATAGCAAAACCAGTTAATATGCTCCAGTTGCCGCAAAGAAATGCATACCGTTACAAGGATTATTACTTTTAATATCAAATCTTTAAATCTTTCGAATATTTATAAGAAATATCTATTGAAAAAATTATAGTTAAAAAAAATGTTTAATGATAACAATTTGAAAAAGTTTTATTTAAGATTTTGCAAGTTATTTTTTTTATAAAAAGAAAATATTAGATATCACTTTTAATTTATGTTAAATTTTCTAAATTTTTTACTCTTTTTTTATGTTTTTATAAAAATATATATATTATGGATATAAATTAATAAAAACATTTCAATAATTAAATTAACTATATTATTAAATTGATAATGATCTTATTTCAAATAGCACAGTTCTCGATTATTAACTAAGATCTAAGAGAAAATATTTTCAAATGATCATGCATAAGTTGAAGTCTATCAAGCACGCACTGTTGTACACTTTCTATTACAACCGACACGGCATAATCGTGAAGAACGTATTCTAATATACACAATAATTTCTTATTTTACGAAAGACTTTCATATTTTTAAAATTCTGATCTTCCAATTCTGTATTCCTATTTTTGTCTTTTATAATTATTTATTAAGATCATTTTTAATAATTTATATAACATTTGATTTTTATAAAAAGAAAAACATTTTATAACATACATTTATATTTAACGTTATATATCGTTATTATTTTAATAATTAAAAATATGTGTATGTATATTTAATGTTTTTTTTCATTTAAATTTCATTCAAATGATAAATAATTGATTTCAGGTTTTTTATGTATTTTATTTATTATAAATTTATAAAATTCATTAATAAATTCATTATAAATTTATAAAAAAATCATAAAATAACTTTAATAATACTGATCGACTAATTATATTCATGCAATAAAAAAAATATATATTATATAAAAAATACATTCAATATATTATATTTATTATTATTATATTATTAAGCTATTATATTATGTTTTGTAAAAAAGAAAATATCAAATTGTTTCTTGCTATCTTCTTTCTTTTGATATATATCTTCTTTATAGAGAATAAAATAAAAATAAAATATCCGAGTAATATTGTCATTATTTGAATTGAAAAAAAATTAATTATTTATGTACGTCATTCTTTTACCACAGGAATTTATTATTCAAAAAAACATAATTTACAATCAAACAACGGAAATGACATCTTTATACATTTTGCTAGATCCATCTCATTAAATTTACATAAAACGAATACATAAGTAGTTTTTATAATTTTTTAAGAATTAATTTAAAATTATTATTTAAAATAAAAGAACATTTAGCAAATAATAATACAACATGAAACCAATTATTATATATTATTATATATATTATTACATCTTATGAGAATGATACAGATCTTGCAAAATCCATATGTTGATTAATGCGTGAAAAATATTTAATATTAGAATAATTAAATTTATCAAAATCACAGATTTCATATTTTTTGATTATTGAAAACATAAAAATGTTTTTAAAATAAAATTAATATTGTAATTTATTGAGATAGAAATAATTACATATCTATTCATCTATTTTCATGATATTATTTTAATTATATTAATATGTAAAATAGATACTTAGATATAGATCGATATAAATAATTAGTGTCATATATAGATCGATATAAATAATTTGATTATATAAATAATAAATTATTAAAAAAAACAACTAAAATTTATTTAAAATATGTTAAATTTATAAATTTAAATAAGAATAATATAATTTTTTTCTATTATATTGTCAATTCATTAATTTATTATGTTAAATCAATTTTCATTAAAAAAAATTCAATATATATTATTTATTACTTAAAATAAATATTAAATATAATATCATGATTATTTGAAATATCACAATATTTTTTTTTTCAGGTTTCATAAATAAGCAATCATCTAAATCCTGTTCGTAAATGAAGGTTGCTCCAATATTTAATTATTGTTACATCAAAACAAATACTCTATACTTAGTTTACACTCATGCTATTAAACATTACAGTACTTACGTGATCCTTATCAGAAATTATATTGATCCCATTTCCAATATTGACTGATATTTCCGAAATAGTAGCTGACATGTTCAATTTCTTCTTGTAACCAATTTAATTAATAACACAAATTAATAATTATTAAATCGAATGTATAAATACAATATATTTTCGTGATTTACGAAAAATCCAACTAAAATCAATTAATTTAATTTATAGAATGATCATAGAAAATTTTATTTTATGTTATGCACAAGACTGTTTGCAGTCAAAAATATTCGAATGATCGATAAATCGTACGTAAAAGTTAATCGCTTGTGTGCACTGACAAGTATACCTATTACGGAATGTATTCAGATAGATAGAAAGGAGTTACGGCTTTTCTTCCAATATCGCGTAACAAGAAAGTTGATTTTGCGACCGAAGATTCATATGCTCGCGGGCAAATACCGACCAATCGTAACCGAACTATTCGATTGTGCAAAACCTTGTTGGACGAAAAAAAGCCAATGGATATTAATTGTATATAAAAATGAAAACCGATATGTATACATGGGTTATAAAGTGATGTTAGTTTAGTCGCGTACTAAAGCAGAATATCTACCAGCACTGAGTTTGCCAGGCCGATCATGCAAGCCGATCTCCCTCCATCGTTTCATAACTGGCCGTGCTGATACCGGTATAGTGAGGCACTTTTTACTCGCTTCAAACTTTAGCTGTTTTTAGCATAAAAATAAAAATATATGATATGAATACGGCTTGTTTTGTCTTTAATATATATATATATATATATATATATATATATAGAATATGATTAATTAAATTAACGTAAGTTAACATCTATTCG